AAACTGACACGGGTGAAAACGAAACAGCCCATGATCATAACCGATACCCCTTTAAAACCCTTTGGCAAGGTATCCATGGACATAATGGGACCTTTACCTCAAACAACGAAGGGACACGAATAGATCTTAACCCTTCGCCCTCGAGAGGTGACTCTAAGTCACCACTTGGTCCGATGCGGCAACTCGAGAGGTGACTCTTTATCACCATTTAGTTTGATACGGAAACCCAATCGACAACAATATATATATATATATGTTTACATGACTTGGCGAAGGGTAGAATGATACCCCTTGCCATTTAACTGGGACGATCCTAACAAATAGAAACGAGTTTCCATGTCTAAAAAAAAAAAAATATCCACAAGGAATCCACGGGAACATACCGCAAAGGTAATACTTTAGTTCTAGCATGGAAAAACAAAAGGATCGTCACATCTTTGACCACTTGGAATAATGCGAGAATAACTGCCGTAAAAAGGATTTTACCAGGTGATGTTGAACTTACTATTAAAAAACCCAATGTTATCATAAGCTATATAAAATATTAGGGGGACCGAAAAGTAACAAAAATCCGACACATACTAATCGTGAATGAGCTCACTAAAGAAATTTTGATTACATTTCGGTCCCCCTAATATATGGACGGCTTTAATCGAACGGACCAATATGCCTCAACATACTGTTTTCTATGAAAGTCCTTAAAACGGTGGCTTAAGCTATTTTTGGGGGGTTTAGAGATTTGTTCAGTTAATTCTTATATTCTTTACAAATCAATTAAAAAGCAGAGAAACAAACAGCTGCTTAGTCATCTGCAGGATGGAAAACACTTTAGTTGACCAATTGAGAGAAGATTTACGCCAGATTCGTAGTCGAGCTTCTACTTCGACCTTTCGTTTCGACGAAATTCTATTGAATGGAAAGCTACATGTCATTCTAACAGGAGTTAAGAAGGATTGCAAGGTTTGCTCCCAACGAAATATATATAATAATAGTCGGGCTTCTACTGCGACCTTTAGTTTCGACGCAATTCGATTGAATGGAAAGCTACATGTCATTCTAACAGAAGTTAAGAAAGATTGCAAGGTTTGCTCTCAACGAAATAAGCCAGACGAAAGATATCGAACAACATATTACTGCAATAATTGCCCCGACAAGCCGAGGATGCATCTTGGCGATTTTTTTATAAAATACCATACAAAGCAACAATACAGTCCTTAATATTCAACAAATTTTCTTCTTGCAGATGTAAGGATACATAAAATATTAAAATATAACAGTTTTATGCGTTAATTTGTATGTGAAATCATTTTAAGTTAGTTGGATGAAATTTACCAAGAATGCGGAAAATCGCCTCGAGTAGCTGGTTCTTCCGAGCGAAAAAGCCCTCGAGTGCAAAGGGTTAATAATACAGGACGACTTCACTAAACACCTAACCGCAATATTATTAGCCGGGAGCTCTTCGAGAACAATAGCCCAAGTACTGGTCAAGAATTTTATTTGCCGACATGGAACCCCAAAGACAATTTTAACCGATCAAGGGGCGAATTTAACTAGCGCGGTAATGAAATCGCTTGCCAAACATTTTCGAATCAAAACGCTTCAAACTACCGCCTTGTCATCCTCAGTCTAACAGCTAAGCTGAAAGATCGCATCGCGTATTAACCGAATACTTGAAGCACTACGTCGCAAAATGAAGAAATGGGACGATTGGCTGGATTTAGCATGTTTTTCGTACAATACTAGCCGACAAGAAGGGACAAATTGTACACGGCACGAGCTACTTTATGGCACCCCTGCTAGGCACCCATTTACTTTTTCATTAATAGAAGGCTCATTCAAAACCTTCAATGAATACCTGACGGACCTCATTGAAAACCTCGAACCGACGAAAATCAAACGGAAGCCAGGAATCGGTTAATAAAATCAACATAGAAATAAAAAAATGTATTACGATCAGAAAATCCACCCCGAAACCCTTCAAGTAGATCAAGTATACCTGGTTAAAGGGTAAGCGAAAAGGAAAACTCGATTACCAATATACCGGCCCACACGAGGTCACGTAAATTATGGAAAACGGAAACGTGGAAATACAAATTTCCTCCAAAAAATTCCAACTTGTTCTCCCCAATCGCTTAAAAAGGGTGAAAACGTCTCAAAAACGATGATCAACCCACGAATCCATGAAATACACAAGACGACACATGCGTATAAACACACACGCGCGCACGCACGCACGCACGCACGCACGCACGCACGCACGCACGCACGCACGCACGCACGCACGCACGCACACAAACAAGCACACAATGAAACAAATACATAGCTACGCCCTACATGACGTGTAAAACATACTTACAAATCATAAACAACTCAAACACCCACGAGGCATAAATCGTGATTAACACGTTCACGCCGGCGCGTACCACCGGTGGCTCGCGCTTGATTGCGCCATCGGGCGGCGCGTACCACCGGTGGCTCGCGCTTGATTGTGCCATCGGGCGGCGTGTACCACCGGTGGCTCGCGCTAGACGCATCATCGGGCGGCGTGTACTACCTGTGTTTCGCATTCGATTGTGCTATTAGACACTGATAATTTAACGTACATACATAAAAACGTGTATTTTGAATAAAAATTATAATTAATAACGTATTATGAACATCAATTTTGCTTAATAACACGCACATAAAAATTCAGTATTATAAATGTAACTTAAATTCGATAAAATTAACATAATAATTCAATATTATTTTATTTGTAACTTAATGATTTATTATTTTTTGTGCAATTTGTTGAAACATTCCAAGCAAAGCGCTGGCTGACCCTCGCAACAACCACAAAACGTCTTTACTCTTGTTGTTTTGGCAGTGGCATAATCTCTGCCCTTCGTTTTGGACAACTTTTTNAGGGCAAAATTTAAAAAAATATTCTAACCACCTTTTAGTTATTTTTACTAACAGAAATCTGTGGTTAGGATATAAAAAACGGCACGAGTCACATAATTTGCAAAGTAAGCGCTCAATGTAATACTGAAGAAACAAGAAGCGCGTGCAAGTCTGAACACGCGAGAAATGCGCGCCGCCAGATGAAGCGCGACATAGATTTGTGTGCCGCCGTTGGGGGGAATCAAATGAAAATTGGCGCCGGCGGGAACGTGCTAAAGCACGACCTAATTTAAATAAAAACCTGAACAGGTGCCAATCCCGACCACCAGCAACCTGAAAGAAGTACCTGTTGGAGTCGACGCTCTAGGCGGGGTGATTTCCTATAAGCACCCCGAAATTTACGACGGACTGCTGAAGATGGATTGTTACCAAAACAGCCCGGCCGACGACACCCTATTCTAACACGCATCGGGAGATTGGTCATTGTGCCTCGAATGCTTCGAAAAACTACCATAGAAAGACCACCAACTCTACTCTGTGGTGACGGAAAACCACTAGATAAAGCCCCTCTCAAGGAGAACCCTCCGATGCCGGGATTGCAGGATCCTGTTAATTATTAACAAACCTGCATTCACCTGCCTCCAGTGCACCCATTATTACATAAAGGAAGAGGAAAACAAACAGTGGGTGGATTCCGGAGGAGACCTCGTAAGCATTACCGAACCCCCGTCATCCAATAAAATACTTTAAACCCATATATAAAATGAACATAATTTATTAAAACTTCCCCTGTTAACTTTCCCATTCTCATAATTCCCCACGTCGCGATCATTAACAAGATTGTATTACAGGAACCATGCGAACAGGACTGCTCACCGTCAGCCTTTGCGTATGGGCCACAGCCAGCGGAATGATTGCGTATGATTCTGGATTGACTCATCTAAACTATACCACTCTCTCTCTCTCCTGGACGTAGGGAACTGCGATATTCCGACCGTAGAACCGGCGCAGACGAACAGAACCATTCAATTATTACAAGTCAAAGAATTCGTAACCACGCATGTTGTCCAATGCATGGTTACGATCGGTAGTACCGTGTATCATTGTTGGATGCACTCCCACGTTTCCGCCGTCGCGAACGGGAGAAACGAATATCGAGCCCAAGCGTCGAATGCGGAACCGTGCCAACCGCGCCCCCTACCGATTTCCAGAAACCGGAGACCTAACCAGGGAGAGGGAGGGCCAAACATTGTATCAGGCCCTCGATACGCCCGATCAAGGGCATCGAGGGAGAGACCGCCCCGATATTAACACTATGCCGTCCGCGCGTCTAATCTAGATTTTTTCGTGTCGTGCCGGTGCAACTGACTTACACTTCCTTGTGGCACCAACGTGGAGCCACCGGCACTTACCCGATAGTTTTTGCACGGCACAAACGTGGAGCCACCGGACGTCATAGTGTTAATTCGCATATTATCGTAGGTGCTTTTCATAATGAATACTGAACACCGTTCAGTATTCATTATTGAGTTACGTCCCACGTAACGCTCCCTGCGTGTACATCTGTGGCCTGCACGTGCATCGGATCACGTATCGAACTAGTCCTGGAGGCCCAGGATTTTTTTTTCCTCAAACTAATAAACTTATCGAGTCTATAACACTTCCTTTTCAGTCCAGATAACCGGGGGCCTCCCATCTTAGTTTTCGTGACCGGCTGACCCGACCATTATGTAAATAGTAAATAAGTAGAAAGGGGTCCCGAAGACTTTAAGCCCAGCTGCTCCTCGTAACATTCATAATATTTAGAAAAATGGGACCCCGCGATAACTAATACCAAGTTTAAATATAATTAAAATCAAAATCATACGTTTTGCTACCATAATGAAATAGCGGAACGAAAGTATTGCAAAAATTTGTCGTGTGTTTTGGCACCAAATGAACTGATAATAATCGTATAGCAAAATATGTAATTTTATTATATTNAGATTACAAAAAAATATTTAGAAATTATTCTGTGCTACGAGGGTATATTCATAATCTGGACCACCACGTGGCAACTTGTTCAGAGGTAGTGCTCTGTCGCGGAGAATTGTTATAACGAAAAGGTTAAGGAAATATCTTCTCACATTCGGTGCTTTTATTTGTTGCTCTTTCATTTTCTTTAAAATAGCATATTACCTTTCAAAAATATAATGATTGACAAACGATTTTTCTTATTTACAGTTCTCCTCCCTCCTGTCTAAGTTTCCAATAACTGAATGTTCGCTTATTTAAAAACAAATATAAGTCTACTCAAATATTTCAGATGCACAAGTTAAGTGAAGGAAATACAAATATTGTACATTTAGAACTTCATTAGAAACATATGAAACGATTACTGTAAGTGATGGTGTATTAACAGATAACCAGATTCAGATAACGAAGGTCTTGTTACTGTGTTCCATGTATGCGTGATAAGGCATTGTTGGACAATATTTGGTATCGATCAAAAGAAGTTGAATACTTTCAAGTTTTGTACCGTATAATGATTTAATGTATTCATGACAACCAAATCCTTGACGAATTTTTACTTTCTATTACGCTATAATACATGCACGAAAAATATTTTAAACTATATTATTGAGAAATTGAAAGCAAGCTCAAACAAAATCAGTCGTTCAAATTAGAAATATTCATTTCGAAAATAAAATGTTATCAACTTAAACAAGATAATATTTAAACAAAAGTACGGTTAGAAGTTAGAAAAATATTTCGCATTGCTGGGCAGGCCGGATTGAAAATCCAAACATGGATTTTCTATTGGAATTTACTTTCCATGTGGCCTGCAATTATGTACTTTTTAAAAATAAAATGTCTAGTTTTATATAAAACTTACAAGGATTCTTATAACCACTGATACAGTCCAAATATTATTTTCGATTGACTATAACGCAACGAAGGAAACAAATTCACACGTAGGTATTTTCTAAATTCTACATGTTTGCTAACTGAAATGAGTCAGTTAAAATTGAATACGGATTCATCTGTTGGTACAATTCAACAGTCTATTTGTTGGTGAACAGTCCGAGATGAGTCCAGATTGGGTTTTTCAATCACGAACTATATATTTATTATCTGGTGTGTTGAAAGTGTCGGAATATTACAAATTTATTTTTTAGTAAGTTCCATCAGAACAGGATAATGTAAATCTGGAGCGTATTCTGGATTATTGACGAGTTGATCAAGATGACATGACCACACTTCGGAGTCGTAACGTTCCTTTATTTTAACGATGAAGCCTCGTTTGATAGCAGCTTCTGTAAACTTTTGAAACGTTGTACCGCGTTTCGGTGCCATCACTAGAGCGATACCGTCATCGTCGAGCCATCCGTAAATCGTTTCGACAAGGTCAATTCTGGTGTCGTCGAAGAAAAGGCAATCGGCACTCAGAATGACGTTGTAGAGGCCTTCCGTCCTTCGTGACTCATCGCCGCTTTCCGTGGTCCAACACTGCGCAGAAGGAACCACGCTCAGCTTGCCACTTTATCTTATTATAACTTAAATAAAGTGTTATATTTCTCGTCATTACTTTTCGGTTGTACATGGTTATCAAACACGAAAAAAAATAAGAGGTCTTAACGGAATGTGAAAGTGGAATTCGAGGGGTCAATCTTTCATGAAACTTTTCTCCGAACTGGATGTACCGAATCGTTTCACACTTTACAGTGTGAATGTGGAAGCTATGTGGAAGGTCCTAACACCAGAGATATTTCATTTTTTCTAACAAATTTTTTAAAAATTGAAATTTCATGGGTATCAAGACCTTCTTTATAGTCTCCATAATCAAGTCGTGAAGTTCCATACAATTCGGAGAAAAGTTTCATAATCGAGACCTCTTCGACGTCACTGTCACATTACCTCAAGGAAATATGAAAGGGTCATTGTATATACATCAAAACGTGACAATATTTTTACAGCTTTCCTGCAAATTAGATGTACTGAATTATCTGAAACTTTCACACGTGATTATGGAGGCCCTAAGGAAGAACGCGATGCTCGGGAAATTACATTTTTTGAAAAAAATTTCTTTTTTGATTCTCGTTGAGATAAATACAATTTTTTTTGTTCGAAAAATGAAATTTCTCGAGCATCGCGTTCTTCCTTAGGGCCTCCATAATCTCGCGATGAAGTTTCAGATAATTCGGTACACTCAGTTTGGAGAAAAGTTTAATAAATATTTTGACTTTTTAGTATGTATATATGACACTTTCATAGCCCCTTAGAGTTACAGAAGCCTATCTGTTGGAAACTGTTTACGGTACGGTTAAAAACTGTCCCATTAACGGACTAATTCAGTTAATTTTCTTACATGAACAATTACCGAAAACATTTCTATAAGAGACAGCTGTAAGTGTAGCTGAAAATGTCTGCTAATATTAATAGTGATGAAACGGGTAGAATTAAAAGTATTACAAAATTGCAGGTGCAACGAGAAATATCTGGAGACATTACGGATAAGGTCTGCTCAGCATTTTCAGAAAATCGAGACGGTGGTACCTGGCTCTAAAATTTAGACGCAACCTTTTATTTATTTAAAGCGCCAGGGCTTGTGAATTATCCTAACGAATTATTCTAACCTCAAATTTGGAATCATTCGCGAACGAGTGCTAATCACCAATGAACGACTGCCATTCAGTCCCGCGAGGATCGCACAAGACCATTCCTGGTATGGTAGAGGCAGGGAGTTCGACTGAAGGTGATGTAAAAGTGACGTCAAAGAGTTGGTCATGAAATTTTTCTCCAAACTAGGTGTACTGAATCGATTCAAACATTACAATATAAATATGCAGGTTATAATGAAGGTCCAGAAACTCATAAAATTTCAATTTATATTTCATTGTTCATATTTTTAAAATTGGCTACAAAAATGAAATTTCATGAGTGTCAGGATCTTTATTATAGCCTCTACATTTACGTTGTAAAGTTTGAAACGTTTCGGTACACCCAATTCAGAGGAAAGTTTCATGAACGATTGACTCTTCAAATGCCACTTTCATATCCCCTTAAAGTGACATGAGAGATTCAGCCCACATACAGGATGTAACGGAATTAGTAGTCACAGTTTATACAGCGGTGTCCTTGTTGAAAAAGGAGTTGAAAAGTCCTGTACAATTTTTTCCTACGATGCATAAATTTCTTGTATTAACTGATTGAAGCACGGCGATTCAATCGCGTTCCCCAACGGAAGACATAGTGGAGAGGACGCCGGTAGGGCTGTGTTACGTCTCGGGTACGGAGTGGAAGGAATATTTTGTGATATAATATTCGTATGTGGAAGGGGAGGCGAGACCTAGCCCCCGCGCCCTCGGTGAAGTCGAAAGGAATTGTGGAAATGGAAATTTTGTGGGCCTCTCAGCGAATCCTATGCGGACTTGTTGATATTGATGGGGATGAACATTACGAAATAAAGAATCTGGGGTACAATTTACTTAGTTTATTGGATAAAAGTTATGAAAGATTTATAAAAAACAACAAATTAGGCGCGTCTGCATGTGTGTGTGCGTGTATATTTCTAAATACTTTAATTCGTTTTCTGGATTTGCTGTCCGTTTGCTGGCGTCGCACTAAGTTTGAGATGCGTGAGCGCGCGAAGTAAAAGTGACTCGAGTAGTCTCGAAAATTTGACTGAAGAATCTGGCGGATAAGTAATAATGTGTAAGTCTCGGAAATTGAACTGAATAACTATGAGTCCAAAACTTGACTGAAAAATCTAACGGAATAGGAAATACGTAATAAGCAAGAAGTAGTCTATAAGTTAAGTGACGCTCGCTGCTTGAATTCTAACTTACATAGGATTTCCACCTCCGACGTTTGACTCCCGAAATTCCGGCAGTGGGGCATGAAAATGACTTAAGTCCCCAATGGTGGGGCTTGGAAAGAATCTCCAATTGGAGGAAAGAGTTAAAACCATGTTTTAGGGAAAGGAGTAGGGTTAGGAAAAAATCTCTTATTGGAGGAAGGAGTTAAAGAATATGTTCTAGGGAGAGGAGTACGATTAGGAAAAATCTCCTGTTGGAGGAAGGGGTCGAAGAATATGTTTTTAGGGAATGTGGTTCGGAGCGAAGAATTTGGGAGAAGTGTCCTCCGGAGACGGAAGTTAATGTTTACTTTTCTGGGAATAGATTGTTAATGTCGCTGTTCTGCTGGAACTCACGAGCTCGCCCATGCAAGGGTGGTGTCCGTCGTCGCGGGGTCCCCTTTTCTTAAATATTTTGAATATTACGGGGAGCAGCTAGGCTCGAGGTCTTCGGGACCCCCGTTCGACTTATCTACTAATTACGTAGCGTGGCGACAGCCTGTCGCGAGAACTAAAATGGGGGGGCCCTCGGTTGTCTGGATTGAAAAGAACGAGTTTCAGACTCGATGAGTCTATTACTTTGGAGAAGAAAAATCTTGGGCCTTCCGGGCTAGTTCGATACGCGGGCCGATGCACGCGCAGGGAGCGTTACGTAGGACGTAACAGCTGCATTCGGCTGTCTGCGGGGTAGCAGCCGCAGCCGGAGTCCTCTCCGCTATGCCTTCCGTTGGAGAACGCAATTGATTGACTTGTGTCCCACACTTTTGTCAGTACTGAACATCATTTTTTGCAACATCATTGAGTTACACAACAATAAAACACAAAAAGTACGATGGGAAGTAAATTTGTTCAGTCCCACTTTTTTTCTTTTTTAGGATAATACATTGCTTTTTAAAATTTTGAAAATATGGCAAATTAAAAGAGCATCTATTTCATTTTGCATTGCCGTTTATATATTTTCTAATAAAATTGTTTGTCATTTGTCAATATACTTTCGATTGTTAAAATGACCTTCGGGACAAATTGACTTACTTCATGCGGGGCAAGTTGACCTACAAGCTCTTGGCGGTGCGTTGCTATTAGTTTTTTTGTCATCGCCTATGCTTTAACCCTTTCGCGCCGAGCGCCGCATATATGCGGCATCCACGCCACGACCTGTGGGTATGAGCGCCGCATAGATGCGGCATTGAAATGATGTGTATACAAGTGCCATCTGTAGTCGATGACAACATTTTTCGTTATCAGCTGAACATTTTATGTTGATTTTATTGACGTATTGGATTAATCACTTCTTAAAACTGTTCCTTGTTGAAACAACATCAAAACGTATTTCACAATAAACTTCAAACATCAAAACGATCGTTTACTGTTTTATATCAAATAATCTATCAAATCCATTTGACAGTAAAACGATTTTTCATATTAGGTTTTTACAGGAATTAGGAATAGATCGGCTTGAGGTATAATTCATAATCTCTTAAAAATTCGAATTTTTAAGTTAGGGTTTTGTTTAAAAATGTATTTACAAAAATAGTTTAGGCCCTTTCAGAATGAATACAAAGCATAAAAAAAGTATTATGTTTGAAACTGAGGGAACTGATTCAGAAAATGGAAATAATTTCCGCCGGTGTAAAAGACGACGAAGAAATATATGCAGCACATCAGAATCGGAAACAGAGTCAATTGAAGATAATGCCAAGGACACCCAGTGCAACATAACATGGACATCGAAAAATTTCATACCAAAGATCCATCAATTTTCCTCAAGAAATTCGGGACTGAAAAAGAAAATAGGAAGATCCTCGAAAATTATCGACTACTTTGAGCTATTCATTTATCAGGAACTTGTAGAATACATTGTAGATGAGACAAATTATTACTGGGCTCAGAAGAGCAATAACAACGAGGATACTAAAAAAACACGACACTAGACGAAATGTACTGTTTCTTTGCGTCATTACTCCTTGACATGTAACAAAAAACTAGCATTACACGAGTACTGGAGTACAGATAAATATTTACGCAGTAATATTTTCAATTAAATAATGACCAGAGATCGCTATCTTTGGATATTACAGATGATACATTTTACCCGTCGACAAGGGCGCGCTGATGATCGTCTATATAAAATAAGTGACCTGATAAACATGCTGCGAAAGTCATTCTGCGACACATTTAATCCCTATGAAAAGGTTTGCATTGATGAAAACTTAATGCTGTACAAAGGCCGCCTGTCTTTGAAGCAGTACATTCCCTCGAAAAGGAATCGATTTGATATAAAATCGTATATGCTCTGTGACTGCAAAACAGGTTATGTCCAAGACCTGATAGTTTAAGAAGGAAAGTCAACGATTACAGAAAGCGCAATCACCGGATTTGGAAAATCGGGTGCAATAGTTTTATCATTCTTGCAACCGTACTTAGGGAAAGGTCATACACTTTACACAGACTATTTTTATTCAAGTCCAGCGTTATTCAACTTTATATACGATAACTGTACCAATGCATGCGGCACTGTGAAAAAAAGACGACAGGGAATGCCGAAGATGGAAGAGCGATTGAAAAAAGGAGAGGCATGTTTTCGTACAGCAAAAAACTTGTTAGTGATGAAGTGGATGGATAAGAAGGAAGTTTATATGATTTCAACTATGCA